TCAAATTGCGGCCCTGCTTCGGGCGAACATTTCGTCCATTGTGCTCTATGAACATAAGCCGTTTAGGCGCTAACGCTACACGTTTAGGAGGGGAAATGCACAGGAATCACTACACCCAGAAAAATGTATAGCTGTAGCAACCGTCGTATGGTAAGCCAGGGACAACCATAAAAATATGGTCGAGCCGACAGTCTTATGGTTCCACCAACATTGACAATGGTTAGGCTACCTGTTTTCATGGTCGGTGCAGCCATAGGATTGTTGCCACAACCATATTTTTATGGTTGTCCCTGGCTTACCATACGATGGTTGCTACAGCTATACATTTTTCTGGGTGTAGGGCTTTAGAGCAGCGGTTGTAAAAAGCAGTCCCACAAAAAATGTTATAAAACAAAAGTTCCAGAGAAATGTAAGCTCTTTTCGACCGAAGGGCCGCAATTTGACGAGTTACCTGTGGGAAAGCAATGTTGAAATTTTTCTTAAAAATATTTGAAAAACCAGCTTTCGGGAAGAATGCTCAAAATGACCCCAAAATATGAATTTACGCCAAAATTTTGTCCTTCGATGACACATCTAGACCTACAATTTCCCTCAGTAGAATGAAAATATGGAGTTTACACTTCCCTTGTGAGGGCGGCTTCAAGGCGGGTGTGGCTCTTAGTTTCTGTTGGAGGTTACTTGTCCATCCCAGACGCATGTCCGTGTGTTATAGTGGGAATAACGAAGTGGCTAATTGCAGTTACGCGCAGTGAAGGGAAAAAGTTTTACGTCCGTGGATGTAATTTTTGCAGTGCTCGGCTGGCTGCGCTCTGCAATATACATGACCGGGAGCACCGCGCACCTCGTATTAATAATAATTGTAATTAGTGGCCGGTCGTTAGGGCCCTGGACGCCTTAAGTACACACGGCGCAAGGGATTATCGCCCACCACCCCTGCCGCACTGCGTACTGAGTGTTCTATGGACCGGGCAATGGTATGGTAGCTTCCTTTGCTAAAAACGTGCCGTTACCTAGTCGTGTGGCCTCCAGCACACGTCACACGTTACATATTGCATGTCGTCGAATTTGTGGTGACATTGCCACTCGCCCACACGAGACTCTTTCTTACCTGGCCACCCCCTACACGCACGCGCCGCTCTACGACAGTCTGTTTGGCGTGGAGCTGTGCGGGGGAGCCCTTTCACTTTTCTTACTCCGTATCTAGAAGCGTAAAACTCTGCCATTGTGCATTGACGGGTCGTGGGGATGCGACTCCGCCTCTGCCCCATCTCTCTCTCTCTCTCCCTTCTCCCTCTCTCTCGCACATGTGGCCGGAGCAGGACCCAGGAGTGACAAAGACGGCGGCAGCGGCTGCTGAATGGACCGTAACTAGTGCATAATGGTGTGTGCCTTGCGTAAGCGGCAGACGCTGCTCACGTTGCTATGATATAAGTCATTGTCGCCGCGGTGCCACCTGCCGAGCCTGGCCCAGAGGCCTGGCCGAACTCTACCCGACCTCGTGCGTTGAGGTTCCCAGGGGCGAGGCAGGCCGTCCCGCCCTACACGTGTGTTTGTCGGGCTGCGTGACTTGGCTGGCAGGGGCTCCAGAGGCGAGGCAGGACAAATAGTATTTCGGATAGGGCGGGTGCAGCCTCAAATTTTATCCAGCCAAAAAATGTTTTAGATGGGATGGGGTTGGTCTAGAAATTTCGACGATACCAGCCCTATTGAAATCGCTATTTTTACAGGCCAACCCAACATGCAGGCCAACACTCGACATCCAAGAACGAATGCCGCTCACACTGTGTCTTATTCGGAATTGATACCGTCACCATTTAAGGAATTGCCATGTAGTGAAAGGATAGTGACTTCTGCAGGTGTGCGACAGCATATTTTTACACTTAAAGGTGAGCGAGAATGCGATTTGACACTTGTAACGGAAGCCGGAAGCCGTTTGCTCAGTTCTCTTGTGTGTGACAGTCATTCACACACCTGCAGGTAACTAAAGGTGCTGTTGTCCACCTGGAAGTGCGTGTCCCTTTTTATTCACCTGCAGGCGACCTGCAGGTCAGCCGGGCCGGGAGACTTGCAACTACGAAGCGCATTCATGCATTTCGTTTTTCGACTCGCGGTTCTTCTTTACCTTTGGCCGGTTGTCGGCGTTCTGGAGCCTAAGACAGAAACAAGGATGCCTATCGGGTCTTTATCGAAAATCCCTGCAGTGTGTTATTTCACAAAAGTGGCTCATGGCTGTTGTGGACCTGCCCAGCCCGCGGCGCCTTGCGGCACGGGCGGTGATGTAATTTTCAAATCAGTTGATAGCGCGACGGAGACGAGACGCTGACGGGTTATCAGGAGAGAGTCTGCTGCAGCGAATATGAAATATACTCGTTCTTGATGCGCCGATAAGAGAAGCCAGCAGGCGAATGCTGTGAGTGGATATTGAGGGCAGCGATCAGGGAAGCTTTGGGCGTTTTGATCCACATCAGTAGCGTCCCGCCGTGCTCTGCTGTGTTCGGAATGACGGGACGGGGAAGGGTATCTTGACCACACAGATCGTGTTGGCCGGCGGAAGACTCCGCGTGACAGTTGTCTTGAGGTTGCCCTGGAAGGTTTTCGTTTGTCGGCGAGCGGCGTGACGTGTGCCGCACCGTGCGCTCGAGTACACGGTGTTCGACAGCTAGAACGGTGCGACGAGCAGCTGACTGTCCTGGCGATATTGCCATGATCTCACTGGACTCGGCTCGACAATTGCATAGAACTCAACATGTTGACGCGCAATTTTTATTTGTACTTACGTAGCCTAATTTTTACGTAGAAAGAAGCCCAAACATATAGGTAAATTTATGAATAAATGTATAGCTAAACCCATAGCCAAATGAGGTATTCCCAACTCAGCCATGCACCT